AAAAAAAAGCTCGTAATAAATATAAAAGTTATTAAATGCTCTTATAGTTTACTCGCCCTAAGAACGCCAAACAAAAACTAAATCTACCGGCATTTCAAGTATGTATTTAATAATAAAACGCCGTGTTCCAAAGCGTGGTTAATACAATGGAGGCTAGCTTTTATCTGAACGATTCAATTAGTCTGTAGCAGAAAGAATAAATAAGGAAAAAAATACACAAGATTAAATTTCCCCGAACACTGCAAACAAAACGGCATTATTTTGTTCATAACATTTTTGTTCCGCAATGCTTATACACCTATACCTACCATCTACGTTTTTATTTCCCATCTAATAGGTACGTTTATACTTTAAAACAAAATATGATTTATCTTACGCGCGCTTTTGATATTAATGTCACAATATGATGATGTTTAAAATAACTGCTCCAATACACCCCCCCCCCCCCCCCCGTAACTTACTTATGCATGAATAGACGTTTAATAAAACAAATAAAGAATTGGACGTCTGTCCATTGAACCACGTGCTTATGCATTTTAAATACATTTTTTTAGAAGTTATGATCTACGTTTTTCTGATTAATAAACTGTTTCGAGTAAACAGCAAGTCCAGAAATTCTTTTCTTGAAAAAATATTTATTTTTTGTTTACTGCAAATTATGTTGTAATCAATTATAACAGTTTATACCTAAGTGGCTTAAAAAATACCTGAACTAATCATGATACATGTACAATGTTGTACAAATCGCTCTCTCATATTTATACAGCGATTGTTGTTTACTCGCATTTTAATTTTTCTATAATTTTCAATTTAAAACCAACGTTAAAACACTGCATATTGAATTAGTACCTAATAAGGTAAGAGGCCATAATCGTCCACCAGTGTGTACGGACGATAATATTCCCAAACAACTTTTACCCGCTTCAGGTGTTTATTTTGTACAACAATACTATCCAGTTTTTTTAATTCCTTAAGCCCTTTTTGGGAGTATTTAGTGCTACATTGTTATACAGTCCAATTTAAAATTAAACTATTCACATCATCGTCGAACGTCTTACCATTTACCAAGCGTGTCAGATTTACATACCTATAAGGCTATGTATATTACACCATAACAACCAGCGAATACTTCCGATCCATCCTTCTGCATTCCAGAATTTTGAAAAAAATGTATAGGATCCCCTCTCGCCGTCACGCTTTTCAGCCGTAAGGTACTAAACGCATGGCGATTTGTTTAGTTTGCACCGACCTGCGTCCAAGCTGCAGACTGCTCTCGGCGACTGGTTAACCTGGACGGAAGGTAAAAAAAAAATATTAATAATAAAAAATAAATACAGTTAGAAAACTTTTACACCCGCGCGGTGACGACGTTTCTGGGTTAAGTGTAATTAGCGATAAGTTATATGCGTGCCGATTAATTAGGAAGGATAATAAGCCGTGTGCCCACGGAAAATTACCCGACTGGAAATAATAACAACTTTTACTTTTTATTATAATATTTCACCGTTACAACAAAAGTTTGTGAATCGTCGTCACAGTTGACATTGATCCAACACGCTGGCAGACGTACAAAATAATAACATTACATTATACCAACTGCAGTGCTACCTACCGCACACGGCACATATTACCTATAAGTGCGTACGACTTTAATGTCAAATTTATGGCGATAGTAATAACAATAATAATTTTTTATCATCATTATATAGGTGACAATGTATCTCGATCGGATCACAACAATTGATTTCTTTTGCCCCCTCTCTAGTCGCATAAAAATAATCGCAGTGGTCGCAGTACACATTATAATATATATGTATTATTGTGAGTATACTACAGCATTAACATACAAAAGCGCAATCCAGTTAAAAAAAAAAAAATTTTTTTGGGGGGATTTTTTATCCTTTCGGTGAACCAAAAATGTATGCATAATATATTATTTTATAATGAATTCCCGCGTAAGTGCAGATATTAAGCAGCGAAGCCTTGCGGGAATTCCTCAGAGCACCGCTGTTACACACTGTACACTAAACAAACAACGAACGAGACGACATAATTTATCTGTCGTGAATCTAAACGAAAATCACACCGGTGGCACAATTAAATTTATGGGGCGATACTCCGAGTTTGGATCGATCGTCACGAGAATATTTATTGAAACGGAATTCCTGTACAAACTGCAGTTCCCATTTGTATAACGTAGGTACCTACCGGCTATTATAATACGAGGTATACATATCCTCCAGCGGCGGCGGTGCAGACGTCCTTAAAATAAAAATAAAATACACATCTCCGCGTGACTCGAACGCGGCGATCGTACACCAAGGTCTGTGCGATAGACAGTATTACATGGGTAGGTAAATATAGGTAGGTACACCTACCACCGGCAAGGTCTGGCCGCGTATAATACGATTATAATAGATATACCACGCCAGCTCGTTTGGCCGCCCCGAATCGAGGAGACGGACTGATATATAAATATTGTACTATAATGTGTGTCTGCAGACGGTATGATAATATAATGCGTATAATAGGTACTACTACAATAATGCCTAATAGGTACACAAATAAAATGATTATAATAATATTATTTATCAATTTGTAATAACCGTTTGCCCACAACCAAAACCAAAAACCGCGCGCTCGTGATCCACACTTGGCAGGACTCCCGCCCCCTCGTAATCAATGCTAACACACTATTAGCACCGAACATGTGTGTGTGTGTGTGTGTGTGTGTGTGTGTGTGTGTGTGTGTGTGTGTGTATAGTTGTATAACAATATTATGATAATAGTAACAACGACCGATGTTGTCCGTGGACCGCATTGCGTCATCGGCGGTGCAATTATGAATATAATTATTATTATCATCGTAATACCCACAGCAACTCGACCGAGTCACACAGCGACGGTTCCCACAACCCGACACACACACTATATATCGTAACACGTAGAAAAAAAAAAAAATTTTTACGCCGTTTCTCCTCGACGTGCATCGCGATGTGTCCGATAAAAAAAGACCGCCGTGCCGAACACCGCACGAGCTCGGCGATCTCGAGTGTGCAATATGTTTAGAGAGGATAAGACCGGTCGATATTTATGATAATATATTTTATATTATTATATATTATCCCGTTAAATTGGAAAACACACTCGGCGTATACGAATAACAATTAATATTATTAGCAGTTCGAAGGCGGAGGTCGAGGACTGTCGAGAACGTATTTTTCTCAAACGTTATATATTATTATTAAAAGTCGAATATAGTAATATATTTACGTCCAAAGACCGGTCTCCGAACACACAAAAAAAAAACTGCGATCGAATTAAGAATATCATTGTTTCAGTCGCACTAGATATATTATGTTATTGGATACATCATTTTAAATGCTCGTACCGGATGGAACCCGAAACTCGCCTAGAACGGAAGGGTTCTCCGAGCCCATGCAGTACCGGCTGCCACTGATCATTTTAAATTTATATTTCGTGTATTATTTTAATGTTATTAATTAAGTATTTATTTACAATTTTAATGTAATAATATATTATTCAATATTCGACACAAACGGAAAACCCACGAGTATTGATCGACATTATGTGAGATGATTTTTTCCTCATGAACAGACACAATTTTTAATAGTCGTAGGTAACGATTAATGTGTATCTTGACTAGAGACAGCCCTATTTATATACATGACGAATTCAAAGCAACGCCAACAAAAATAGAAGGGGAGTATCATTTAGTTTAGGGTCGCATTTAGGGTAGTCGAGAGTCAAAAATATAGGTATAATTTGTGTAAGTATATTATGAAACATCTAGTTAATATGAAACAAAATTATATTTCATTTTAAATTTGCTGTTATTCAAACTCGAAAATGTTACAATACACAATTTAGTTTTTTACAATTCCGTGTTGTGGACTATTTTACTTAATTATTTTATTAAGTACATAACTTTTTTATTTTTTTTATTTTTTTGATTATTATGCAGTTATTTTTGCAATTGCTGGCAGGTAAATATTGTTACTTGGCTTTTATCGAAGCCCTAAAAATTGATGTAATAATAAAACCTGCTGAAGCTGAATCTCGTAGATGGGTTTTACAATATAATTTTTTTACCGGGGTGTCAGAATATTACATGTTTGCTTGTCTTGCACAATAAATTATATTTTTACCGAAATATAATCTAGTTTGTATGATTGAAGAAATTTTGTATTTTATACACCTACAGACGTATAATTTTACGATAATAAATTGTACACAGATATTTAAAATAGTTGCAATAAATATTATATATAATTATAATAGTATAACTGTATGTGTATGCAAGTCATACCAATTATCATAGTTTAATTAATAAAACAATAATAAAGGGTCGCTACAACACCCATTACTCATTTGTATGTTTACAATATGTCTCGTCATGTTTGGCTCCATCAAAAACATTTTTCTAATCCATATTTTTCTTATATAATTCTGGAAAATTATTATTATATTATAAGAGATATCATAAAGTATTAGGTAATATAATTTTTATACTTTCTTACAAATAATTAAATAATTAATGTAAATATTTTAAAAGTTGAATTATCAATAGCCATGTGGTATAAAAAAAAATTAGGTTATATGCATTAATATTGTTGTCACATATTTATGAAGGTTGGTTTAAGGTATTTTAAAAACTATATGGTCCACTTGAGGTATGTACGAAAATAAAATAAACTCTAAAACACTAAGACACTGTAGTGTGTAATACATTAAATATTTTTAAAATGACTATTAAGATACAAAATTATATTTTTATCAAACAGTTAAAAACGATAGTATTAAATATTGAAAATATCAGTATTATTGAAATAATTGAGTAGTTAGGTAAGTCATAAAGCTAAACACAATGATTAATCAAAGATAAGCTTCCCTATTGAGAAAAAAAACTATAACTTAACATTATACTATTGTATGAATGCTAAAATAATTTCCATTAAAATCTAATCAAATTTAAAAAATGCTCCAACTTTGGCTAATTATTGTTTATTGATAATAAAAATAAAATAAAACTTCAATTCTACATTGTTTTCTACCCCTAACGAGTCAAATAATTATCACCATCTCTTTGTTGACGCATCATTCGGCGGTTCATATATGTAGCACAAATTCAAACGATCATAACTACTGTATGTGTGAGTGTGTGTGTGTGTGTGTGTGTGTGTGTGTGTGTGTGTGTGTGTGTGTGTGTGTGTATGAGGTCGGTGAGGTCACGCGTAGATTCATTATTATTTTTATTTCCACTACACTTATTATATAACCGGTGCTGTGGTTGGACAAATGTTTGGAGAACTGCTAGTTACAGATACGCATTGCTTTTTCGTTTTTCTTTCTGAACTCGCCACCGGCGCTGAATACAAAACATAAACCTTAATGGTAAACTCGAAATTCGCTATATTGCGTTTAATAACGATCGCGATGTCTTAGCTTAGGGTATGTGCTCATGTTGACGCATATTGTGTGTAAATGTCTTTAGTTATATTATGTGATATGTGTGTGTAGTTGGTCATTGTGCCAAAAGAGACCGATAATTCAAACGAGTTACTGAACCGTCAAAAGCCATGAAGTAACAAATTGATTGAATATATTTATTGAATCGGCAATGTTCATATATTATGTTTATATGATTTTTTTTTTTTTACTCCGTTTCGACCGATACCTTTAACGTACCGACTAACCTAACCTTGTTTTTCAATGGTATTGTTTATAAAATATATACCTTTATTATACATTTTTTTTTTTTACATTATTGTATGATATTATAGTGCATATAAGTAAGTAATATTTATTATTATTATTATTAAATATTACCCATATCGAAGACGTTTCGATATCAACCACCACGGGGCCTGTTAAACTCGAATTCGAACAAACCCGTAGCCCGTCACTTCACCACTACAAAAATTGTATCATTCCAACCGTAACAATTATTATACCAGCATTTATTATAAATTTAGTTCAAGTCTATCTGACAACCGTATTGAAATGGTCAGAAATTTCTTCAACGAAAACAGACACTCCGCCGAGTATCCCGTCGTTGAATCGTAATTGTTATTCCACTCGTGACGCACGTGAAAGGTCTGACGTGAAAGACTTGTGACTATTATATTATACTCGAATTCCATCAACAAACCACGTAATGATATGTAGGAATGATGGGGATTCACCTTTGAGAACGTTGCGCAATCCAATTTGAGTACAGAACCCAACCAAAAAAAATGCTCGTATTGTGTATTAGATACCTACTTGCAGCGTCGACTTAAAAAAAAAAAATCTGAGTCGACAAAATATTACTCGATCCCATGGTTATCCGAAAACATTTTCCAGCTGCAGAAGTCTTATATTATAATATTATAATATTCAAATTTACTTATTGCAATTATTATATAATATTATAGCACCGTCGTCATTTCGGGGCCAAAACTGGTTCGTTTTCTTCTCCTATAATTAGCATGTCTAAACAAGTACCTACCTATATAAGAATTTATACAAACTGTAATGCAACAATATTGACTAAAACATATAAATATAACTGTATATAACTGTATAACGTTACGAGTTAATATAACGTAGCTTTATTTTTATATTATTTTATTATTAAACATTCCCATATTGTCTTATATTTGAGTCGTCCGCTATAGGGAAATTGAGAATAATGTCGAAGTGTTTAACTGCGTTGTGTTCTTCAAACTAGATTGAATTCACATATTTTCTGCTCCAATGATGACTATTCAATTATGTATTATTCATCAATCGAATTCCCGGACCGTCAATTAGCCACTCATTAATAAAACGGTCGAATTAAGCGATCAACTGTAAGTTATGCACAACTTTCACAACCATAATATAATGGTACCTAATTGAAATCTATCATCATTTAGGATTTCATGAATTGTTTTTTCTTTCAATAATTTGCAAGCACAACTACACTTTACGTGAGCTATTAATTTCTTATCAAAATTACGTCACGTATTTGATGTATATATACATACCCAATCAGCGTAATGCCGAGTGTTATGCAACAGATTTCATTAGTACATTTTTCTAGATTTGTGACAACAATAAAACATGATCAAGATTTAATGTACAGTGGCATAACAGCTGCTTAGTCTAAAATAGACTTTCTCTTAAATTATTTCTCATAAATTCCTTTATTTAATTTTGAATCCACAAGTAACATTTTTTTTTTCACTTCGGTTGACCTTTTTATTGAACCTCGGGGGAAACAGTATGCCCAAAGGACGTGCACGAATCCTTTCAAACTATACATTTCGATCGTTTCGTTCATATCTTTATTCTGATTCCAATTTCTCGTATTAAATTTCTGCTTATTTTAAAAATAACCAGATTCGATATCGTCGTGAGGACATTTATACAACTATATTGGTTTCTGAGATTTGCATCAAGTATATGTATATGATGACGACGTAAAAAAAACTTGCAAGAGAACATATTATATTCAATCGAAACTCGATAACAATAATTCAATTTCAAAAGAGATATTTGAAATTATTATACTAACCAACAGCAACAATATAATAAATATATTATTAAATTAATATCATCCGGACGTTTACTGCACGTGTTTAATGTTGTACAACCGACGGTTAAAACGTTTGGATCAAGGTCGATGCGGTAACTGTTGTAATGTTTACGGATCTGTCTGCAGGGTTTAACAAACGTCGTGGTCGAAATTGTTGGGATCCAAACCCATGTATGCATAGTATGAACAGGAGTGCGGTTGGATCAATATTTGCCCATAAATATGCCAATCATGGATCCGACCATTTATTTATTTACCGCACTGGTTCACCTAATTCGATTGTCTTCTCACTGTCATTCGACAGTGATAATATACTCCATAAGTGTATCTATTGCACCAATAAATTGTCGACGCACAAAAGTGAATTGAAACCTGAAAACTGCAGTTGGATGTGGGTATTACATACAATACGTCTAATTCATATCGAATTCGGCAGTGAGTTTTTTCGATATGCAGCGTTGGTGCTTTTTTGCCAATTCCTCCAGATAAGTGGAATGGTCAGCCAGTCGGAAATCGAAGAAATCGCCCTAGAAAATTAAAAAAAAACACCAATATGTGATGTAAGTTGCGAATTTGCCGTGGTCGTTTAAATGTTAATTATCTATATTGTAAGGGTGCTATTTTTTTTTTTATTTTTTTAGGTTTGTGTCTAAATCATATAATTAAATACTCATGTACACATTATGCATTTAAATACATTTTTAGTAAAAAATTATCATAAATATTCAAGGCTGGGCATTAGTTTCTTTTGAATTTTCATTAACTTAACTATTAACTTACTACATTTCTTTTTAATTGACGTAAACGAATCGTTATAAGAAGTAAGTTAAGTTAATTTGTTTTGTTTTTAATTTAATTATATTTACTATTTAAGTCTTTTTTGTTTTCATGTCAATATATATTTATACCATGAATCGTTTAGAGTTTAAAATTTTTAATTTTTCCAATCTTACTTTTATGGTAATACTGTTTTAAGTTTGAACTATAAATACTATAATACGTTAGCGTTGTATAAAACAAATTAACTTTTAACTATACTGAGTTAACTAAAAATGTAATTCATTTTTTTTATTAATGCATATTAACTTAACTTACCTCAGTTTAAAAAAAATCATTAGCTTATCCAGCCTTGTAAATATTTGGTATATAAATTACTTGATTTGTATTTAAACCTTAAATGTTGACCTTTGTCCTTTCCCCCTCATTTAACTACTCCACCGCACTTATATATACCTACATTATATATATATATATCACAGTTGTACCTGAAAAACGGTATCATGAAACCGACCCAGGTTGTACGCCTCCAACCACCGGCGCTTTTGAGCCACGGCCAGACAGACAAAAAAGAACGCCTGGTAGTCAACAGAGTACATGACGATCAGGCACAGCCAGCGGCAAATTTCGGACCAGCTCAGACGGCCCCAAAAACAGTCGGACGCCCAGCTGGAGCAAAGAAGCCACCACGAGATGCCGGACATCTGTAAAGATATACGGGTTTTTAATTTGACATTATTTGTATAAGTTATAACATATGATATTATGATATATGAGCGATGATGGCATTGACACACTCGGCGGATCGGGCACGGTAGACGTAATTATTATATTATCATAATATACGTATTATATATATATAGTATGTACCTCTACATACGAACAATGATGGTCGTGTCTCGCTTATTACGACGGTGAAACGCACAACAAGACCGCATAATTTCAGCTCGAAAAAATCATCAACAAAGGTTAAACGTTCCATTGTTTGACTCGACCTCCCCGAGTCGCCATCGTAATAATAATAATATTATGCTCTTTTTAATTTCTAGTCCCCAACGCGATTTCATGACATAAAAAAAATGTAAAAAAAAACTCTAATTAAGTTCGTACGACTTCGTCGTTGTAGTATGCTTATCGAGCCAAATTAACTTTGAATCGTAATATTGTAACGCCCACGCAATAAATGTACTTAAAGTATAATAATACTTACAAGATAATAAAAATAATAATAATATAACGCATGTGGATTCTAATTATAGGTCACAGCGCTAATGTATCGTATGTCTCTAATAATATAATATATATATATAGGTATATTATATTCCAACAATTTAAGACATCAGTACATGTGTTGCAAGATTTATATGATTATAAATACTTAAACACAATAGTATTTCATCTATAAAAACGCTACAACATAAAACGTTTTAAATTAAAAGGTAATTTCGCCAATGCGATTAAACACTGTTGACTTTAAAGACATAATATAAACAAATACTATTCAAAGAAATGTATGGAGATATTATTCTTACAGTAATATGAATAAAATAATAGAAATCCAATGGACTTACAGATGATTATTTTATATTTGAGTCAAAATATGTCGAAAATAGATTTGATTCCACTCCCTCTGAATATTGTTTGATGGAGGTTTATAGGGAATTTTAAATGAAATTCCATAACTGGTAAATTAATAAATATATAGTATGTACTTGGTGGAGCCTCGAGTAATTGCTCTAAATCAAACACTTTAATATGCTTTAAAAACAATCGCATACATAAATTATGATAATAATATTGGTACTAATGGTACTAAAAATGAGTACGTAAATGCCTAATGAATATGAATTTAAATAATGTCATTTGATCTTATAATACTACGGTGAAGTTAGCCTTGTGTCCACAATAATAGTTGTGTAAATAACCACAACACTACTATTATAATTCCTCGGATGTAACGTTCCACTTTTACTCGTCGGTGTGTTTATGGTTTTATGTACTACCTAGTAAAAGAGTTAATATTTAATAGAATAAATTAATAATAATATTTATGCACTTTGCACTGCTTTAAACTTCACTTAAGTATTTTTATACTCATCATCTTCACTAGTCACTCCCAATGCACATGCCATATCTTCAATCACACATGCCGTAGGTAGTTACTAACTAATAAATATTATGTTAATCCACGTGTATCTTCATAACTATAACCTACGATTAGATCGTATATGATGCATAAATATTACTATAACATTTAATATTGAGTTGTAACATCGATCGCGTAATAACTATTTCCAATAAATTACAATTTTTAATGTTTTATAAGTAATAACGTAATGTCAAACAAATATTGTTTAATTTGTTATTAAATTAATATTTTAACGTTTTTAAATATGCTACCCACTACATGACCTAACATAATATTATAACATTAAATGACATAAATCCATGGCCGAGAGGATCGCTCACATAATTTACAATTATTATACCCATTAATATAAAATATATACTTCGTTTAATTTTAAACAACTGCCTTAAGCAATGAGAGTATATAATTGGAAACTGGAAACCATGTGAAACGTAGGTATACGTGTATACGTGTACACATAAATCACGGCTATCAACGGTCTACGGACTACAGGTCAATATCACGAGATACCGAGCTACTGATGAGCCAATTGAAAATTACAGAGTAGCATTCGTAATTATCGATTTTATTTTTATTTATTTTTATCTCGTTCTCGCGCTTACACGATACCGAGAATAAATGTACCCTGTAAGGCGGAGTGGCCCGATTGCGGCCCGAATACAGGTAGTCATATTTTATCCCAAATATAAGTATCCCGATTGTGGCCCGTCCAAACACACATTGGTTCACAAAATAGCTTATAATTAATAAAATTAAGCATTTTGTATTAAACATATTTGTATATGCAACTCAAATACAATGTCTCGTGCATGATTATTATCATAAATATATGATGAATAAGTATACAAGTATTTCTTACAAGACTGTAAATACTAAATAGTATATTACATTTAGTCTTACATTTTATTTTAATCTTTTTTATCTTTAATGGACTGAAAATTACCACGCCGAATATTGCTGATCGTGGGAATCGTGAATACAATAGTTGTATATTTATATCAAAATACGTATCGGACGCTATCGGGATATTTATTTAATTTTGATGACCACTGTTCGGGCCGCAATTGGGATAGGTGAAAAGGTAAAAAAGCTACTTTGAGCCGCAATCGGGCGACATCCCTGAAAGGAACGTACTGGGTTAGTTGGTATGTTGGTTTTTAGAAGGGGTCGTAACCCCCCTTTCCAATAAAAAGTCGACAAATAAACAGTTGACATTTTTTTCCTATTTACACTTTAAATTTAAAGATATATCAATTTTTCAGTTTTATCAAGGGACAAGGTTATTACATAATGTTCATTTTTTATGATTATGTTTAAAGTAGAATTGAGATGTTAAAAAAAAATATATTGGAAATATTTTATTAAATTGTACATACCAAGAGTTCACTAAACTATTTTTACTAGATTAAACTACAACATTTTAGATTCTAAACGGATTAATTAATGTAATGGTTCTACAATTATGTGCTTTATTATTATTCTTTTTTTGTCTGGTTGTCACCTTAAAGATCAAAAAAAAATGATATGATATTCAATTTTGAAAATACTTTTAAAAGCAACCAGGATAATCAAAAAAATTACATAAAAAGTTAATTTTTAAACAAAATAGATTCTGCTTTTTTATTTTAATTCAAAAATAAATAATTGTAAAAGCTTGTTAGGTATATTATGTACCAAAATTTAATATTCATATTAGCATTTACAGAACATGCTATAGATATAATTTTAAAAAAATTGTTGCTCTTTTTGGGCTGGTTTAAAACTTTAAATGTATATAAAATACAACTTAAATACAATGTCAAATTTTTATTATAAGTGTATATAGTTCAAATTTTTACTAAATTCGTCAAAATCATAACAAATCACTAGTTATTTTAAAGGTAAAAGAAAAAATACTTCAGTAAAATCAATGAATTCATTACCCCGCTCAGAATCTAATGTAAAAAAGATACTCTTTATACATTTTTATTTAAATTTAAGCTAACGATTTATCCCATACCTATTTTGGTTTTTTGTTATTCAGAATTTTTGCATAATTAAAAAATATTAATAGAAGTAACTTAAAACATTACAGTATTACACTATGAATTCAGTTATAATTTACTGTACATGCAGTGCAATTTTCAAATTATTGAGGCAATTTTTAACTATTTATAGGTATTTGTTATTTTGCTAATTTGTTTTTAGTAAGATGATAAGTAGAAAATCTGGAAAATTTAATGAAATATCTCACACAAGAACTTCTAGAAATTTAAAAATATTAAATAAATACATAGTTTATTATACAAGTTTGAAGTTAAAATGTTAATTAAGTTGGATATTTAAACGAAAAATAACGATTTTAGTAATTTTTTTGTAACTCAAAAATATAACTCTAGGTGTTAACTTGAAACTGTTGTATGTTACATACAGTACCTATGTATATTAATATATTTCAGAGAGTTTAATATGAAAACACAATAATCAACTAAAAAAATTATAACTATATAACTATATACGCTGTTATAATAATTAATTATAGAATAAATGCAATGTTTTGGCAAAAAATAATTCAACATACCTACCGAATTACTAAATCTACTAAAAATAAATTTCTAATAGCTATGAAAATATATAATTAAAAATATCCTCGGCAATATAAGCTAACAGAGTAACAGACCGTCTGCGTTCAGAATTGTATATCATATTTTGCAATGATTTATCAATAAATTCAATTTTCGCTCGTCTATTACAATCACCTATTCGATGATGAGGTATACTCGATACTATCCTACAGAAGAGTAACTTCCCCCATTTTTTTTTAATAACTCTAGTTCCATTTTGTTTTGAGTTTTCTATAACAAAATTATATACGTGAATTGTAATCACATTATAAAAAGGATTTTTATTTATACTGATCATAAAATGTATATTACACACCTATATTACAATATTAATAATAGTTATATTTAGTTAACGCAATGAAAAAAATAAAATAATTAATCATAATATCAAGTTTTATCTTCTACTAACAAGACTTCCTTGACTTCCTTTCATAAATTGTATTTTTTAGACAAAACCATGGAAAAAAAATTGATTTTGGTCGATCAATTTGAAACATGCATTCGGAAATCATTTTTTATCACGCTCCATCAGTGCTCCTCCCCCGCTAATCCCAATACCCCCCACGCAATCAACATTCATTCCACGAGACGTTACCTAACCTTAAACGCGTTGTACACTTCGGGTTGCTCTTGTTGCAACAACCCTTCAACCAAATGACCGAAAGCAGCTCTCCTGTCGTCGTCCTCGTCAAATGCCGGCGGCCAAACGTATCTCGTTGTTTCGTAGAGTCTGAGCAGTACGGCACACGCCTCAATGCATCTTTATTGCACACATAATACACATTTTATATAATACAATTTTATACAAAAATCTGAGCAGCCACCGAGGTGTGCATCACAAACCCGTTTTCCGATCCTTGCGAAGCCATAAACAACGTACAAGTCATGCAATCAAATAGCACCGGCGATCCTCTTCTTTCGACACGACTGTACAGTTGTTCGAGCTCCGAGGACGCCGCCGGATCTTCGGCCACCAACCCGACGCTCGAACCGTACCTGCAACAATAATAATAATAATAATGACTAATATGTCGAGAAAAAAAATTTCGTAACCGAATTTTATTATAATGTTATAACGTGTTTTTGTAACCTCAGCGCCAATCGTATTCCGGAGACATCGAAATCGGTTAGATTTAATTTACGATCGAACGCGCTCAGGTCGAGTTGGCCGTCAAAACGGCGATGACCGACCGAAGCTATTAAATCCATCGTCTCAGTTCCCTGCAAAAACGTGCCAGTTATTATACACACCCATGTTGTTACATCGTTTTTCTGACTTTTATACGTTTGTTACACCAAGCGTGCTTAACCACGTTGTATATCCTTCAATTTTTGTATTTATTTAAATTACGATTTTTAGAAACTTAAATACGTACTATATTATTATTATGTTCTAATGCTTGCAACACTTTACTGGTTTACTGGTATAACTTAAGGGTATTGCGGAAACCAGCATGCTTGGTGAACCACCCTGTAATTATATTATATTATACTCACGGTTATCTGGTCGCAACGGATTATTATGGAGCGAACCCTCTGTAACCAGACACCCCCATGATGTTGATTAGTATTTTCCAAAAATGCGGCCAGAGTGCCAGGAGTAGATTCGGTAGTGTACCGCGTGTCCCTCGACAGCAGAGGGCGTTGTAATTTTGTCAAAAGTTCGGTTGTTTCGTCGACGAAAACTATTTCGTCTTCCGTACGGCTTTCGGTGGACAGTTTTAATAATGTTTCCTGTCAAAAACAAACAAAAAACCACCCGAAAATAAACATTATTTTCATAATAACACACACACACACAGCACAAGCCACGAGCTACCCTTCCCCGTGGCCGACAGTTGAAACGAAACTTTAAGGAGTTATGGTTACGCAACAAATTTAATATTGACTTTCTATTCGGTTTATAATACACATTATAATATAATTCACGGTATGTGCACTGTGCGTTTCGCATATACAATCGCGAACATTATTATTACGACTGGAGGGCAAAGATGATGATTATGATTAGTGATTGCCGAGCTGTCCAAACGGACCAAACTTTTAAACGGTACATTACCATAAACGCGGTTGGGTCATGAGTTATACACACTGCATGAATAGCGTATCTATTGTGTAGGCGTAGTAGCATACTATAATAATATGTGTGTTTATTTTTGTAATAATATTATTATCATCAGCTGCGGCTGACAATGGTACGGTAATTTATAAATATTATGCACTTTATATACTTGATAGTTTAGTTTTAAGTCCATGTAAACACGTGAGCTGAACGTGTGCGTGGCGGCTTGTACTAAACGCAGCCACAACATCACGAGAACGTCTCTCGGAATGGGATGGCCATCAAAATTTTGAAGCGAAGCGTAGTAAAGTTCCGTGAGTGTCATTATCCCGGTTACTGCAAACTCCGAACAGTCGTCGTCACACCAATGGTCAAGTACAACGTTTAACCCTGTAAAAAATCAAATTATAAAATTAAAATAGTTAAGTATGAGTAACACTATGATGTATAACAGTGGTTCCCAAATGTTTATACCAGACAGTACCCACTTTTGGGCCAAATTCAGCCACGGTGCCTAGCTAAGAGAATTATTGTTAAATAATCCAATACTAATAAAATTATCTCATTGACAACCAAATTAAAGATCGTTCGTCTAAGAAAAATTACCAACCATGCAAGTAGAAAAGTCGACGAAACGATCCCTGGAAGTCGTGAGTACCTATAATGTTAGATACATGCATTTACGTTGACACACGAGACAAGGAACAGTATAGACCAAATTTTCCAAACACAATTTTGGATACTCAGATAAATATCCTACAAACGTATGCAATTATTTTTTCTATTATTATCATATATTTGTAATGGCAAAAAATTATTACTATCAAATTCAAATTGAAATTAACAAAAACAATTACATTTATATATTAAATAGTACATTTATTATATTCGTATGGGACGTGGTGTCCTTGAAAATGGAGAACCACTGATGTATAATAATAATAATAATAATAATAATAATAATAATGCTGACCTCCGATCGACGCGCAACAGGAATAGGCGACTCGGACGATCGAGTTTAGTGACTTCCGGTCACCGTCCGGGTCGAGAGAAACTTCCGTTCGGTGCGAACAGGCCGCTACGAATCCGTCCAGTGAACCGAACGCATCCGTCTGACCCAGCCAGCGTCGGCCGGCGGCCGTGGAGCAGGCGACGCTCATCATTAAAAGCTGTCTCGGATCCGACCAATCGAAGTCGTCCAGGCGCGTCGTCGCATCTCTCCGCTGCGATATGTCGTACGTGAACGTACCAAGCGGCGTCCCGCGCACGTTGGTCAAGAGTGTCCGCCGACGGCCGAGGTTAGGGTCACCGGCGGCGGCGTTTTCCAGGAATGACATCCTCCTGGTTACCAACCGCCAGACCTCGTCGTGACTGCCGAGGGTCAACGTGGCCGCGATCGCCGTCAGGGAATCCACGTCCGCGGCGCCGGCATCCTTCCAGCGCCTTTTCTCGAACAATCCATCCACCAACTGGTGGCACGCTGCCAACGCGTCTGAACGCTCGGTGACCTTGGCCAGTATGCGTAAGCCGAAAGCGTTTTCCGCGATGGATTCAAGCGTCTCGGGCTGAAACGCAGCAATTGCGGCCACCAGCAGGCAAAGGCCGTTTGTCAACGTCGCAGGAACGCCCCGGCGATTGGCGGACAGGAATCCGAGACAGTGGTTCGCTATACCGGCCGCGTGGACCCGCAGCGTTCTGGACACCTTAACCGGAAACATGGCCATCGTGGCGCGGTACCTAAACATCTTGGCCAACAGGTGCGTGGCATGCAGCGCTCGGGCGTACCGGACCACGGCCGCTATGTCCGCGTCGTCGGACCGTCGAGGGATCTCGGGTTCGGCGATCCACTCGTGGAAACCGGATACGACGGCCCGAAGCAGTCTTCGATCACCCTCGAGGCACTGAAAATAACGAGATCAGTTACTGCAATACCACCATCTAGCACAAATTATACGGGAAAGATATCACAAAACTGTCTACTTTATTCTACAATCACACCCATTTTTCAGATAATTTCATGTTTTTTTATTATAGCGTAGTGGTAGCGCTACTGACGTAACAAAATTTTAAAGATTTGGTCTTAAACACCACTATCCACTATTTAAATATTGTTTACAAACAAACATTAATTCTCTACAATCTACCATTATTCCTCATCATTTACTCGTATATTTAATATCAAAAGATAATTACTGCAATATTAATTAAAATTGTATTAAAATTAAAATTGTAGTTAATAAATAATAGTTTTAAATAAATATTGGATAATCCGCTGCATAATAAATACCCAACTGAGAGAATCGTATATAATATAAAATATAAAATTATATTACATAGTGAAAATTAAAATGAATGGCAAGATATTCTCAAGTTTATAACATTTTTGAACAGTTGAATATAGCTGCATAACTTTATTTTTACATGTAGATTCCATTTTAAGTGACTATCAGATATTAAACCTAAATATCATATACTTTGAAAGTTTGAAAATTTGAGTTTATTTATTATTACATTCGGCATTATTACTATGCAAAAATGTACAAAAAATGTGCTATCAGATCATCAAAGAGGATATAGATAGTTGTATGTATAATATAAACAAAATGTAATAAAAAAAATATTTTAAAAATGTTTAGTATTTAACTGTATTTTTTTAGATTTAAATTATCTAACTACTTTTTTATCATTTAAGTTCTTAGTTTGTTTATTGACTTTTGATAAACTGTATTCTAAGAACTATCTGCAATATAAGAATGTAAGTAGTCTTACTCTACGACACAAAGTTCCACCTCAGTGTTCAGTAACATCTAGTAATAATATATGTGTAAAATATGTATATTGTATATTTATTATTTTTTGAACTTAAAATTAAGAAAAGGATATGTTACAGTCTGACTATCTATAATCTTTATGATCATCTGTGACCACTTGTGGGTATATATGTCGCATATTATACAGTTTATATATATAACAGGTAGGTGTGAAAAATCATGGATCAAGTACACTTAACCTTGTGGTACTCCGCAAACAATTTTTTTACTTAATTCTTTAGTAGGTAATCTTAATTTTTTTTTATCTTATATAACTACTAATCTATTTAAGACTACCTACTTTAATCTAAGATTATAATCAGCATAATACTTTCTTATGTTTATACTAAATTAATTAAAAATGTCCAGTTATTGCACACATATAAAACAGTACTTAACGATCAGCTTTGTTTTTTGTAACATAAGTGATTTGCCACGAAAAATAAATAACTTAAATGTATTGTGAATCTATTAACTCTTCAATGTTTTTCTTCAGCCACTAACCTAGAAAATAACGACCATATAACACTCACATATATGGATAACAAGAAAAAACTTCGGCGACGGATAACCAATTAAAAACAATAACCCACTACAGCACAGGAAATATAATTTTAATATAGGTAACATAACTTGTTTTAGATTTTATCACACTCCAATTAATTGTTTTGCACTTTTGCGAGGTGTACACCAGCCACATCAGCATTTCATAAAGTTAGGAGTTTGTTTCGAGAGTAACATTTGAGCTACCAAGGCCATTGTGATATATTTTTTAATATAGTTTTGTGTGAATTCAAACCTCACTACCAGTATAATATTTCTAAAAAATCAATGTACTTCTAAACTAAAACAACTTTTTTCTGGTTCTGTTTGACCTTTTCACGTTCTGGTCCTAATTAAAATCTTTAAGTTTGACTACAAGTATACAATATTTTGCGAGAGTAACGTTACCCCACCACCGTCATAAAGTAACTTTATAACTTCTGCAGAATGTATGATTGTGTAGAAAATTAATTTTGTTTATAAACAATAATCACAGATAGTACTGTTCTATATTTGCATGGTGAAGATGTGTGATTGGTGATGCTGAGGGTGATTTACCTGGAAAAAGGCCGACCGGGACGAGTGGTACTTAGAAACGGTGTCAAACCACGTGGCAATCGGATCGGCGCAGCACAGAACGGCGTACGGGCCACGGCCACCGGGATCGGCCGCAATGGTGGCCACGAACTCAACGACGGCCGACTTGACGGCCGCGCGACAGCCAGCGGCCCGCCTACAGACCACAGACAGGCACCGGGCCGTTAGCGACACGGCTGCCACCGTCTTGCTGAAGTCACGGCGGTGCCGTAATAGGCACCGTGCGTGCGTGGCCTCGCACAGTGAACTGAAACTTTCGGCCGCGCTCTCCGGGTCCGGTGCCATGTCCACGAGCTTGGCGTACACGCGGACAGCAAGGCCGAAATGCACGTCCGCCGACACGGCGCGGGACAGCCCATCGGTAAGCCGCCGGAAGTACGCGCCCATGTAGGTGTCGTAAGTGAAAGGCAATCGGACGAGAGCGTTTAGGCTTCGGGTAGTATCGCGCGCCAGCCGTCCAGGCCCAATGTCCACCAGCCCTGGCCACCGGTGGTCCACCAGCCGGGCGGCCGATCCAGTAGCCAGCAGGACGTCGCGCACCGCCGCGTCCAGTGCCCGCTCAACGTCGTCGGCGTTCTGCTCCAGCAACCGGTCAGCGATTCTCCGGGCGACGGAGTCGGAATCGTTGTTGTTGTCGTCGTCACCGCAGTCCACGTCAGACGACGACACGGACGAGCCGACGATGGACTCGGCCAGCGTGTGCACATCGTTCAACACACCGCTGTCCAACAGATACTCGTACAGCCGGCCATCCGGGTCGTCCACGTCCTCTGCATCCGTCGCCGAGTCCTGGCGCGTGTGGTCCATCGCGGCCACGCAAAATTCGTCCTAAGGTCGCAGTAGGCTTTAAGGAAAATAAATATGGTTTGATGAGTGGATTTTATTTTTCGGTCTGCTCGACAAGTCGGTTTCTCTCTGCAGGTCGGCAATATGTTGTGGTGTGTATACCCGTTACTAAGGGGACGCGACCTGCGATCGATCGGATCAAAGCGGCGGCCCGCAGTGGGTACAGCTGCACATTATTTTTTTCAGGTTTACCGAGTTATCTGTCACGGTCATAGTCACTGAACGATTCGAAATCTATTTACAATAATATTTGAACATTCGAAACGCACTGCACAATGCAATTTCAGCTCGTCGGTTTTTAGTATTAACGATGAAAAATTCACATCCCTGTCGGATTTATATACCCAGCAGGTACCTCTATCTGTTCAATAACGCGACTTCCAATCGTGTATAGCCAACATGCACCGTTCGTCACGATAAGATATTTTTGTTATTTTGTATTGGTAAAAAATCGACAGCCATCAGTAACACTACTCTAGTCTCGACATACCTACATTTAAAATAATACATACCAACGTCATCAATACAATATATTATGACTTTATGAAAAATATTATGGTTTGTACTGCTATTAGGTATGCTTGTTTTAAATTTTCTTAGAATAGAGAAATACCGCGAGTGACTACAATTAATGTGCGTTAAAAATAATAATTAAATATACGTACCACAATTTCTCGTATGTAATTGGCATTTACATAATAATTTATATACATGGTTTCACTGTTTGAAGCTGTTTTGTTTGACTCTTTCTGACCTCTGCTGCCGTTAAATCGTGTTGGATTTATATTTTTAGCTAATTTACAATGTGTATATATAATAGTCATGTACTAGCGATTGTGCTGCGGGTACACTCATCAAATACATTTCGTAACATTAAGCTGTAGTGATTGTACATTTTAACAGTCATTTCAAACACTGAATCTTCAAATCTGTTTAAAAATTATAGGTACGTAATAAGCCATAATAATAACAAATATTATGTGTTACGAAATTTAATTGGCAAGTTAGTTCTCAATAACTTGATAGGTATAATTATGTGTCAGTTTAGAAATACCAATACTATGTTACTATATTAAGTCATAATATAATTTATTTTAACAATAATTTTTTTTTATCTTACATACGTCTAAACTACTTTTTTTATGTATAAGAATTAAGTATCTACTTTAAGAAATTAGAAAAAAAATTTTAGGTAAGTATACTTCTTAAAAAATTTTTGAACAATTCAAAGAAATTACTTAAAGTCTGAATAACTAGATTAGAGCAACAATATCGTGAAATTCAATGTATTATATCATAGTTTAATCTTTTTTTTCATTTGTTTTGTGGCTTTAGTTTTTTTTTTAAATAGTAAGTACGTCCATGATGTTGCGTCCCCCACTTTATCCTTAAAACATGAAAATCACTTAAAATTAGTCTTGTAGGTTTCAAATTTTAAGATAACTAGGCAGTTAAGTGTATATAGAGTAAACTGCTTTTTTGGGGGGGAGGACTTCATGTACGTATTTTCCTCTAATTAAATAACGAGTAAGAAACATCTATCACCCACATAATAAAAAAGTATTATGCTTATATTAGTACGTTATCACTTATCATAATTTATAACACAGTCTTAAATCATTTAATTGAAATAAGATTGACATTTCTTGAGGCATAATACTTTTTTATCATGTGGGTGATAGGTTTTTCTTACTCGTTATTTACGTAGAGGAAAATACGTACATGAAGTCCTCCCCCCCCCCCCAAAAAAAAAAAAAGCAGTTTACTCTATATACACTTAACTGCATAGTTATCTTAAAATTAAAAAAAAACAAAAAAGACTAATTTTAAGTGATTTTCATGTTTTAATGATAAAGTGGGGGACACAACATCATGGACGCATTTACTATTTAAAAAAAAACCAAAGCCACAAAACAAAACAAATTTAAAAAAGATTGAACCATAATATAATACATTGAATTTCACGATATTGTTGCTCTAATCCAGTAATTTCTTTGAATCGCTCAAAATTTTTTTAAGAAGTATACCTACCTAAAATTTTTTGTCTAATTTCTTAAAGTACATACTTAATTCTTATACATAAAAAAATGTAGTTTAGAGTGTTTAGACGTATGTAAGATAGAAGAAAATTATTGTTAAAATAAATTATATTATGACTTAATATAGGAACCTAGCATGGATGGCTTAAATTTTAGTTTTGGACTGTAGATTTTCTCTACCATTTGCAAATTCAATTCAATTGACAAAAAAAAGCCTGTGTAATAAAATTAACAAAACTGTATCATGAATCCTACGACTCAAATGTTTAATCCTTCATCGGTTCAAAGTCAACTACTGTATAATTTCGAATGAATATTCAAAAACATCAACCTCTCATAATAATCACTTCAACATTAAAATGAAACTCGTGAAATAATAAATAATATAGTGGACATATAGTTAAGTATATTATATAATATGTGTTTTATACACCGTGGCCCTCCCTTTACGTCACGTTGTCATTCGATGTGTTTTAAATAAATTATATGTACCTATACAAAGTACTTTTTTTATGTGTACGTATATGGGGTTATAATGTCAAACACGACACACTTAATTAATAAATACAATTGTTTATTAAAACCTGATAGGTACATTCATAAATCATAGGACTAATATATGTCATCACTCATCAACTATCTTGATTATGGTATTTAAAAAAAATATAATAGGTATCTACAATATAAATATAATATCGTACGATTGAAACGAGCATTGACAATATCCATAATTTCCTATTGACATTTTCATATTAGTATTTCAATGGATGCACACATACAAATACAACATGAAAGGAAACATTTTCAAAACGCCTCTTCGATGTGCATCGTAAAAAAGTATAAATTATAATAAAAATAAAACATATAGTCGGATTACACAAATCGGAAATCAGTTCAGAAGTGTAGTTGCTATATTAAAATTGTAATCAATCATCACAACCACTCTAAGTAGCGCTCTGTTTACTTAAGTGCTTATAGAACGTTTCTATAATTTAGTAAATTCTAAATGCTCTTGAAAAATAACTTCTAGGGTGTATTTTTAAATATTATATTTATTACTTATATACTGGTTAATATTATTAATTATAATATATATATAAGTAATAATTGCATTGAAAAGGCCAAAGTGCAACGTTCAGACTCAAAAATGTACTACTTTTATCAATTTAGTTATAAGGAATAATCATGAATAGTAATAAAGTGTCGTAATAATAATGAGTGTTGATGGTCAATTACGCCATAATTCAATGTTAAACATGCGTAAAAATTAAACATTGAGATTGCAGAATACTATTTGGTTTGGTTAAAAAATATAAATATATCATTGTATTCATTTTCAGATTAAAGACACTCACCCAACAACTATTAAATCAAAATTATAAAGTGTATATATTATTTGTATATAAATTCTGTATTAGATAATGCGTAGATATTGTTATGTCTTTTAAACTACTATTTTTTAATAACTATGTAAATTGTAAATAACACAACTACTAATAAGTTTACCAAAATTGTCTCCCTTACATTTGAAAAAACTACTTCCAAAATCATAAAATTAACTCTTCAAAGCCCCTGCAAGTACCAACTAGTTAATCTATTTAACTATAACTGGAATAAATTACACATCTATACGATACTTTTGAGTTTACATTCAACCCGAAAACGTAGTCTCATAGATCCTGCACATATTAATTAATAATTATTACAAAAAAACATTTAAAAACCAATAAATTCTCTTTTGCCCTGTTCAGAATATAAAATACACCATTTCTTATTCCTGCTGTCTCTTATTGACATTTGCACAATTTTTCACAAAGTTCATAAAAAAAACACGAAAATTTGGAAAATTATTTCATATGTAGTTTAAATTAAATTAAATTTTGGTTTGAGGTTTGCAAATTTAATAAAAAATTATTTCAGATAAGTTTGATCACAAAAATTATAAACAAAAGCTAAGTGTAATATCACAAATATTTTATAATGTGAGTGTCTGTTTAGGCCACATTATAATCTTAATCAAACCACACAAAGGCCATACAACAAAAACGCCTATAAAATGCGTACATGGCGACGATGTAGGTATAGCAGTAAGCCAGTAACGTATAGTAGTTATGTGTTGGCAACACGCGTGGGCTTACCAGAGTCCAGGGTATTTAAAATATCATGTCTAATGGGAATGATGAACGATTAGTTTCAGTTTTGGTAATTCGATTACTGTATTCACATTACGATTTCGACTAATTACAGTTTATTATTTAATGCACACGGTGTGGCGCTTGGTGCCGATAACAATGTGAATATTATAAATAACATAAGTATGGAAATATGCGTAAATTATACGTACAACAAAATATATATTAACGATGTTTGAAATTATCAACATTTAAAGTTCTAGTATTTATTTTTTTTTATCGAAATAAATCTCTAAGAGTTTGATTTTACTCGAGTAAAATACTTATAATTTAAATAAGTACTCCCGTTGTTAATGTAAAGCGGTTTTTGATGATTACAATTACTTTTACATGGTTCTTTAGACTTTTTATATTACATAATATATAGGTTAGCATTTACTAATTTCAAGGAGAAAATGTAAGCTTAATATTTTATATTTTTAAATCACAGCAGGGTACAAAGTTTTCCAATGTTCTTAATTGAAAGACTTCGTTCATTTTCATTCCAAGAACTTTTTGTCATTCCTAAAATGCACAACAAGTCGAGTATAACATAATTGAAAGTTGCATGAAAAAAATGTTATGTAATTAATTTCGTTTTGTAATACAATTTCAAATCAAAGTGAAATTCGAATTATTATAATATACTATTACTATAATATTATAGCAACAAAAAAAAAGGAAAAGAAATTACATAAATAAAATAAAACTTATTGAATAAAACAACATTGATTCATCGATTATTCCATTCGAAAATACCTTCTAAAAGATGCTCTTTCGACAAATAATATTAATTGTTTATGGAAAGGGTTTTTGAGAAATCCTTATTAAAAATAAACCAAAAGCATATAAAATAAATTGCAGTCAATTATATAAA